GATCTCCTCTACTCACTCTTTTGGAGAGGAGACCCGTCAGACCATCGCTCATCTACTGCCTCAGGACCCGACTTTTGGACCCATAGTCCGGAATCTGCAAGCAGATCCTAACTCTGAACCAGGCTATGTTGAGTTCAGACCTGCTGTACACTTACAACAGAGGGGAGGAGCACTTGTGCGTTCCCCAGGACCAGCGGCTCAGGACACTACTGATGTCAGAGTGTCATGACGCTTGTGGACATTTTGGGTTCCTAAAGTCATATGGAGCCCTGTCGCAGCGCTTCTTCTGGAAGGAGATGCGGAGTGATATGCTGCGCTATGTGGAAACCTGCGAGCTCTGCCAAAGGAATAAGGTCCAGCGTAGGCCTCCTTTGGGACAGCTCAAACCCTTACCCATACCTGATGGCCCTGCTGAATCTGTGTCGATAGACTTCACAGATTTAGGCAAGACCACCCCTTGTGGCATGCGTCAGGTTGTAATCTGCGTGGGCAGGTTCTCCAAATGCGCAGAGTTCATCCCCTTGCTAGAAGTGGCCAGAGTTCCGGCTGTGAGAACACCCTTTTCAGAGAGGTGGGTCACACACCATGGACCACCCACTTCTATAGTCAGTGATAGAGACCCCCGATTTTGCAGCGATGAGTGGCAGTCCTACTTTAAGGACTATCTGCACTCACGATTGGACATGACTTCTGGTCATAATCCTGAAGCCAATGGTCCTGCTGAAGTGATGAACCAAGTCTTTTTCCAATCGCTGCGTCCTGTCATCTCTCCAGATCAATAGGACTGGGATCTTCACTTGGCTCGAGCACAACTTGTTTATAACATGTCTGTCCATTCCTCGATTGGGTTCAGTCCATACCCGTTGCACTGGGGACATGAACCACGACAACCTCTCAATGATATCGATAAGGCCAAGTCAGACCTGACACCAGGCACCGCAGAGTTCACTAGACGCTATCGCATAGATGTGGAAAGAGCACGGGCGAACTTGTTCAAAGCCCGAAAGGCAATGATTGAACAAGCTAATCGCCACAGGCGGCCTTCCCCCATCCGCACTGGTGATTATGTCTGGGTAGCCAGTTCTGAGCTGTCGAGGGAGGAGGATATCTCCCCCAAGCTGTTGCCTCGTTACTTGGGTCCATGGCAGGTCTTAGATACAGTGGGCGCTGATCCGTTCGGTCCATCCTATGCCATTGACGTCCCACTGCATCTACGAACCTACTCGATCTTTCATGCATCCAAGTTGTTGTAGTTTACCCCAGCTGATGCATTCCCTGACCGGCCCCCTCAATTTGGTCCACCGATCCTTGGCAAGGGATACGGCGTGGAATGGATTGAGGATGAGTGGGGCACAAGCCCCGATCGGCAGTATCTTGTGAGGTTCGCATTCCAGCCTCCTTCTGAGAACAGATGGTTCTACAGAAGAGAACTTCTCAAGACAGTAAAGTTAGTTGTTTTACGATATGAGGCGGCTCAGAAGGGCAACCTTCCTCGCAGTTCACCTCGTCTACATCCCTAACTCGGAGGTCCTCGCTCCCCGGGGGGGTAAGCCTGCAATGACTTGCTGATTTCTACTGCCGAGACTAACCGCGAGGCTGTACAGTACAGCAGTAGGGTAGATTCGTAATTTTGTTTGGCTGAGGGCTAACCGAGAGACCTACCTGTAAGGAAAATTCGTGAGGGACATATCGGCAAATATGGGAAAATAGGCCCAGGAGTACTTCGAATTTCCTACAGCTATTCTCACTGCGTTTAGCAGGCCCGGGCTACCCCTAGGACACACAGGCCCTAAAGGCCTAAGCTGATAGACGGTCCTATAGCTTATAGCCGGGTTCGGTAGAGTCAGTCAGTCCGGTCTAGGTCTAGGCTAGAGTAGTAGAGTCTATTAATAGTTTGGGGAAATCGGGTTGGGACTTTTTGGGAATTCATTTCGTGATACAGCGTTTGGAGGCAGGAGAGTTTTGGAGCGACGATTGTCTACAGGCGGCACCCTGAGACCCTCACCGGACAGCAGCCATAGCCAGCCTGGTGGGGACTTGCCATAGCTGGGGCATCCTCTGCGCATCAACCCTTGTGGGTTCCTGCGAGTGGCTGGGCTGTGTGGAGACTCTTCACTGAGTCCTTGTGGGTGGCGGCAGCCATAGCTGCCGGTCCTTCATCAGAGTTGCTCAGCGGCACTGAAGATCTCATCGCAGGATCTGTTATTCATCTGGGTGGTTGGCGCTGGCCTCTGGGAGGCCATTCTGATGTGGCGCTACTAACTGCGTGTAGGGTAGAGAGTGGAGTGTGAGGTTCTGAGAGTGCCGAGACACCGGAACAAACTCTGTAACGATTTCTGGTTAATTGGCTCATCATCAGTGTGTATTCCAATTGTTATCCTCGCAGGTTCTTCCTTGTGATTGGTTGTTGGGAGTATCGCCAGAGAGTGAGAAACACTGTGTGCTTCCGCTGTCTACTCTGATCTGTGTGCAGTTTGGACTGTCTCCTCTCCCCCTTCTCTTATGCAAGTATGGGTGTGTATGAGACTGTCTGTGTGTGAGTGGCGGTAAAAGTCGTCAAACAACCAAGATCATAACACCTAGCTCACAGCATGCAAGAAGAGAACATTCACATGAGAGTTCAGACCACACCCGAGCACATGAATCAGCGCCAGGCAGGGTTGCACCGTTGCCGACCACAGACCCCGACCGCCGACCGTTTTGCAGCCGACCAGTACGGCCGACCGGTCGGCGGTCTGCCGACCAGTCAGAAAACAAAACCATCCACTGATTTTTTTTCAAATCTGAGTTGGGGGCTGTACTGCGCTTGCTGAGTA